CTGGGGAAACTGGCTGACATATGCAGAAGACTGAAACAGGACCCCTCCTATCCCCGTACACAAAAATTAACTCTAAATGGATCACATACCTAAATGCAAAACCTCAAACTATAAGAAGCTTAGAAAATGCAAGAGAGACTCTTAAGGAAGTTGGAACTGGCAACCAATTCCTGAGCAAAACCCTAAGTGCCCAGGCCATAAGAGATAAGATAGACAAGTGGGGCTTCATTAAATGGAAAAGCTTCTGCAAAGCCAAAGAAACCATCAAGAGAGCAGGGAGACAGCCCACAGACTGAGAAAGAATATTTGCCAACTCCATGTCTGACAAAGTCCTAACATCAAGGATCTACGTTTGGTGGAACTCAAACGTGCTGAAAAGAAAAAAACAAACGACCCCATTACAAAGTGGGCAAAAGATATGAATAAACACTTCTCAAAAGAAGACATACGAGCAGCCAACAGATACATGAAAAAATGTTCAGCCTCACTAGTCGTCAAGGAGATGCAAATTAAAACTGTACTAAGATACCAACTAACTCCAGTCAGAATGGCCATCATCAATAACTCAGAAAATAACAGATGCTGGAGAGGATGTGACGAAAAGGGAACACTTCTACACTGTTGGTGGGAGTGTAAACTAGTGCTGCCTCTGTGGAAATCAGTGTGGCGATTCCTAAAAGTTCTAAAAATCAACCTTCCATATGACCTTACAATTCCTCTACTGGGAATATATCCAGAAGAACTCAAATCACTCTACAAAAAAGATATATGCACACGTATATTTATCATAACATTGCTCACAATAGCAAGAACCTGGAACCAACCGAGCTGCCTATCAAAAAAGGACTGGATAAAAAAAAAAAATATGGTACCTATACACAATGGAATATTATGCAGCCATAAAGAAGAACAAAATCATGAACTTCTCAACAACCTGGATGGAATTAGCGTTTATAATACTGAGTGCTCTCACAGAAACAAAGAGCTGAGTATCACATTTTCTCACTCATAAGTGGACCTTGAACAACTACCATAATACTGTAAGAAAAGGACCAACAGTAGTGGGAAACTGCGGGAGAGGGGGGAGGTAGAATTGACAGTAGTCGATATCTGCCTAGGATGGGGGGACACACCTCATCAACAAGGGTACCTGCACAATGAATATTTGTATACTTCACCCTGAATTGTGAGGTGTACCCTACAATTTTAAAATAAAAATTAAAAGAGGAAAAAAAATAATTTTGTCTTAATATTTGACCTCAGATTTTTAAAAAATATGACCTGTTGTTTTAGCTGGTTTGTACTGTTATGCTACAGTAACAAATAACTTTTAAATTTGCCACTTACAATAGAAAGTTTATTTGTTGATCACCTATGTTATGAGTCAGCAACAATGTCCTTGTTATTTTTAGAGTATGCTGGAGGAACTCTTCCAGTCTGGGACATGCTGCTCCCATAGCAAAGGGAAAAGAGCGGTGTCAGAATTAGTCAGTGGTTCTTTTGGCTTCTGTTCGAAAGGTACACAATCACATTTAGTCATATTTTACTCGCCAAAGCAAGTCACATGATTAGATTTCCTGTCATCCAAGCAAGAAGTGTAACCTTCCGGCAGAGAGGGGCCTGGTAGACTTTAGCTCAATAGAAAAGATGTTATTTTGATCAAATAATACATGATACCATATCCATGTCTATCTGCTTATTTTGAATTCTTTATAAAGTTACTGGGGCTGCCATGTAAAATTGTGTAGTTGGTATACTGTGCAGCTCTGGTGGAAAGGCTCTATCCACATAGTGTATGATTTGAATGACACACTATAGCATTATGTTTTGTGCAAATTGCATACCCGTATTCAGTGACCCTGAAAATTGTATGTTACAAGAAAGGTATATATTTTCCTTTAATTCATTAAGACTGTGATTTTGCCAGTAATATAATTTTCTTATTTGCACTCTTTCTAATTGATCGGTCTTACTGTCTTGAGGATAAGAGCTGATACGTTTATATTCCACATGTATATTTGTGAATCACCTATCTATAATTGCATATCTACCATCAGTTGATTTTTTTTAGAACTTTATTTCATTGTAGAGATGTGGGTACAAGTCAGGATTAGGTATATAAATATTTTATGTGCAGATTGAATTGATATTTGAATGACAATTCTCTGCATCTTAATTACTTTGAGCTCATTAAATTAAAAAATGCATATGGCATGAATTATGAATTGAGTAGTTATTCTTTTATTGATAAGCAAAATTTGAATGTTTAAAGAGCACTAAAATCCAAGTTTCAAGTGCACATTGTATAAGTAGTATGTAGCAACAAAAATTAATACAAGTAATTACTGCTGTTTTGTCAGAAGTGTGTTGCACTCTACCTTCTGTTCTTTCTAGAATAAAGATCAGAAAGAAAATGGAATAAAGAAGAAGTATAGATATTTAGAAAATAATTTAATAAATACCATTTTTATTGCTAAGAAGAACAAGAGCTTAACTACATTTTTAAATTTTTGGTTTACTTTTTACCGTCAATGACTTGATTATATGTGTTGTGTTTTTAAGCTTATATTTTATAAAATTTTTTAAAACCTTAATTTTTTAGATTAATAGCTAAGAAAAAAGATTTTTCTTAAATGAAAATATATGTCTTAGTAATATATCTGTCTTAGGGAAAAGTTTGCTATTGATTTCATTGGGGGCTGATGTTGCTGAGTTTCACATTCCTTTCAGAAATAATGTAAAAGAAACTTTGTATAGTGTGTGGTCAAAACTTCTACGTATGATAGTTTCTCTTGGACTTAGAAGTACATTTTGGTCCCATAGTAGTAGCTCTTAATGTACTTTTATTTTTGTAGATACTGCTAAAGGACACTTCAGAAAGATCATCTCCTGAACTTGTCAGCCCTTGATCTACTTAATTTTTTGCCATTCTGCTAGGATGCTGGATCTTGTGGTTATTGTATCCCCACATTTATTATCCATTCAAATGTTGGTTTTTCTTTTTCTCTGAATTATCTGTTTATATCCTTGGCCAACTTTTCTATTGGGTTGTATTTAGTTTCTTTGAAGCTTTTACTGTAAATTGGCTTCCATCACTGAAGCAAATCTAGTCACTTCTAGTCACCAATATCTCCTCACTGCCAAAATCAATGTGGTTATCTTAATTATTTAATGTACTTAATCTTTTCCTGCTTGAATCTATCTCTTTCATTGCCATTCATAACAGCCTTTAACTCCTGGTTTTCTTCTACTTCTACTTCTTGGGCTACTTTTCATGTAATTGCTTTTTTATTCCACTCCTATTGACTGTTCTCTCTTCATAATATATCTTTTGGTCTTCATCATGATCATAGTTTTGATTTCTGTTTGTGGCCAAATCATAGATATTTCTGATACTACTGTGGTTAATGCTGACATTCGCAATTGAAGGAAAGACTGGATTTCAGTTAGAGGTTAGTGAAAACAAAAATGTGATTTTTTCCCCCATTGAGTTTTACTGATTCTGAATTGTATCTAGCCTCATAAGTATTTAAAGCCTAGGAGAAATACCACTTAAGTTTGCTAGAACACCGCCTATATGCTGGACACAGTGCTAAGTGTTTTATGTGCAGAGTCTTCTTCAGTTCTCCTGACAGTCATGTTGTCTCCATTCTAGAGATATGGAAGCAATTGTCTCAAGATTAGGCTTGCCCAAGATTATAAAGCTAATAATTGTGGAAGCTGAATCCAAATGCAGGTTGACTCTTGACTCAAGAGTTGTGCTATTAATTATTATGCCATACTGTTTTCTCTTCATCCCCTGCTTTCTCTACTCCCCTCTGGCAAATTCAGTTTCCTGCTTGGTGATACCACCTTTTATCGAGACCAGAAAACTGAGAATCATCCTAGATCCTTCCTTTTCTTTCATATGCAATCTGTCACCAAGCTGAAAATGTATTCTCCTAAATTTTTATTAAGCCACTGCTTTACCTTCTTCCCTCAGTGAGACTGCCAGTGGCAGAATTAGTGATTCTTTTAGCTTCTGTTCAAAAGGTACACAATCACTTCTAGTCATATGTTATTTGTCAAAGCAAGTCACATAGTTGGACCCTATGCCACAGCCTTCATTTAAGCTTTCCTTTATCATCTCTTAGATAGATTTTTCCATTAGTCTCCTAATTATTCTCTCTGCTTCCATTTTTGTGTTCCTTTAACCCATACCACTCCCCAAATAAACATTCTTATTTTTAAATATTGTGTATGTTTTTTTCTGTTTAAAGTCCCTCAGTAAAACTACATTATTGGAAAGATTCAATTCCTTAGCATGTCACAAAAGTTCCTTTAATAAATGGTTACATCCAGCCTTTTCTCTTACAACTTTTTCATAATTTGTACCTTTCAGAAGTAATGTAAGAGAAACTTTGTATAGTGTGTGGTCAAAACCTCCTATCCCTGTACCAGCACCTGGTATTCTCTTTATCCAGAATCTGTACCTTACCTATTTGACAAACTTACTCTTCAACTGCAGACTTAGTTCAGGTATCATCTACAAATATGAAGTGTTTCTAATTCTCTATTCCCACCATATTATATGATATTAAATTCTCTCTGAGTTTTGAATATCTCAAACTATAAACTAGTGTCAACAACATCTATTTTACAGGGTTGTTGCGGAGAATAAAAAGAAGTAATAAATATGAAATAACTAATGCAATGTTTTCACATAGTAGGTACTCAGAATTGGTTGTTTCATCTTCCTTCTTCATACATACCTACTATATAACAACACTATAATTGTATGCCTGTATCTCATCTTGAACTTTAAGATCTTAAAGACTAGAAAGTTTTTCTTTTATACTCAATGCCTGTTTCACTACCTAATACATACTAGCTATTATTCCATAAATACTTCAGAAATAATCTAATTAATTTTATGACTAGATGTTAAGTAATGAGCCCCGTAGAGTGAAATAAATTGCTCTTACTAGTGATTCCTCTGTTTCTTTGTTTCCCTTCTCTAGTGGTGATGAGTTCCTCAACTTTCTTCTAAAGTTAAACAAACAATGTGGCCATTTAATAACTGCTGTACAAAACATCATTACTGAGTTACCTGTAAATTCTCACAAGGTATTCCACAAAAGTTATTAAGTGAAGAAAAATATGAATAGTGAAGAATATTCCAGATAAGTTTGTGATAATTAAACAGTATTGATTTGATAAAATTATATCACTTGTTCTACAAAATCACACAAAGTCTAAATAAGTCAATTTGTTTAATATTACTCCTTTCAATACTAATTAATTGAAAAACTTTGCATTATTGCCCTTAAGAAAAAGAAAATGACTCAGATTAAAAATTAAATTGCTCCATATGTTGTATTTACTATTTGTTCTTTTTTTTTTTTTTTTTT